AGTAGGTTTTTGGAGTCATCACAGTTTAAAGTCTTCACACAGGTGACTCCCAGATTTCTGTTCCAACACAGATATTTCATAGTCTATGTTCAACTATGTATTTCACTTCTCCACCTGGGTGTATTAAAACAACCTCAAATCAGCACATCCAAACTAAATCGAAAGCTCCCTGATTTTGTTTGTTTTCCCACACTATTCCCAGTATCACAAAATGAAACATACTTCATCCCAACTGCTGTCTATTTCACCTGCTGTACGTAACCTAGACACAGTCCTGTGGATTTTACCTTTTAGCTATCTCTCTAGTCTAACCATTTCTTTCCATTTTAATTTTCTACCACCAGTGCACTTCTAAGATGATCTCCTTACTAGACAGAAGATATTTATTTAAGTGAATTAAATACATCTTCCCTTATACCTTTTATCATTTTGGATGTTGCTAGGTACATGCAATTTTTAGTGCATCATGGATCTTATGTTTGTCTTATCTCCTTTATGAAATGCATTTGTTTATTAACAATTACTGAGGCATTGAAGATGCAGATGTGAACAAAACAGCACCCACACTTTTATATGCTAATGGTCCAACTCAGTCGACTGGGAGATTTTCCCTCTGTGATGGTATCTATTGGCAAACAATAGAAGACATTAGGGGGAAAAACCCTCACTTTCAGCATATTGATTGTAGAATCAAATCTGTCTCAAAGAAGTGATAATATTAATGGTTATGTGTTTTTATTATATTTGGATTTTTGATATTAAACTGATATGGTTGCTAAACAACATCATCTAGGCAGTAGCACCCCACCCTGAAGAAAGAGGAAAGAATTTATATTGTTATTTGCTAAATCACAAATATGTTAATATGTGTATAAGAAAGGAAAGAATCCATGAGTGAGTTTTAAAGGGGCTGACAGCTTATAACAGAAGCCAAATAGTTTTCAAGTAATATATTTTAAGTGACAGGGAGGACATTTTTTAAAAAAATCATTAGAAGATTTATATATATACACCTAGCAGGATATGGTTGGAAATAGAATGATCTCCCTCATGCTGAGGAGAGCACAAACATCTCTGAACTCCAAGTAAACTGGGGCTTAATAATTTAGAAAAATATATAGGAAAGGAAAATCAGTTTATGGAGCACATGCACTGACAGGTTTTTTCTTTTTCTCTTTTGCAATGTGAGTGCCTGATTTGTGGTTTGATTCAATGGGGGATCCATTTCAATGGGAGATCCACCTCAAAGATGGCTGTCTCCAACAGACATGTTGCCAGCCACTTGACAAGGTAATCAATCAGGCCACCTTCTCCAACTGAGGTGCCTTTGTTTTAGAGATTTTAGTTCGTTTCAGTCACTGACATTTTGGGCTCCTGGTTGGATTTTTTTCCCCAAATCTTCTGGCACTTCAAATTCTGGCTCTGATGGTTTAAATTCACCAACAAAGAGTGAACTGAACAAACAACCCAATCCAAAAATGGACAGAAGACCTAAACAAGAAGCAATTCTCCAATGAAGACGTAT